TTCGGCCCATTTTCTATAAATGCTGCACTAAACTCCCATTGTTTGTCCGAGTCAAACGAAGATTTGAATGCCATACTGTATTCAGTTTAAAATGCCTTTCGATTTTATTTACAATGTTTCCAATTCTTAGAATTGGTTCATTTACCCCATGTGTACATATTTCAATGCCCTTCCATGAAACCTTTAATATGCAAGTCACCTTTAAAATTGCTTTAGTCACTTTATACAAAGTCAAAACATTGCCTGATTTTCTAATTTTTTCTACCTGAATTAACAATATAATCTATTTATTTAACTTTCATTTTGTAAACAATGCTGTATATTTCCCAGAAATACAAATTGGCTTTGTGTGTTAAACATTCTCAATTTCTTAACAAATAGATGACAGATTATTGTTTTCCCCAAAACATCACATAAAATAGTTTTTGTTTTGTAAAGTCTTTGCATTTCAATATTCTAATCTTTGAATCGCAGACGAAATTGACTTTTAAATTGTTTACGTAAACTTCTTTACACGGAAATCCTATAGCACATTTCGTATTCCATCACACATTAAAGTAAGGGTCCGTCTAAAAGCAATATCGATATCAATGGCACAATTATCTCTTTGTTTTTTTTTTTGTTTAGAACAATGGCTGTCTGTGTATCTGCTCAACTCAGCAATGGTTGGCGTTGTCAGTAACAGAATCCAGTTTGGTCGTTAAAAATTGATTGATTTCCCTTCTGTGTTCTTTGCATGTACGCAGAGTAATAAACGTAAATCAATGTCCTCTGAAACGACGCACTCACACACACGTCCAATAACAGGAAACAGGAGACAGTGCCTTCTTCCTTAGCTTCCGCATGTCATTTTGGAATTACCGTTATGGATGTGTTGGTATCAACTCTGAGTCATGTGACAGCTTGTTGTTATACAAATACAAACACACCGTCACACTCTGCCCTCTCATACACTCTTTCCATATACATATTGTTCATTTTACTGGTCTTCATATCTTACAGCACTTTGGTTTTCAGAACACACACACACAAAAGAAATAAAGACAAATATACCCAGCTGTTGAACAGAATAACCTGTCAGTTGAAGTAGTTGAAAAGCAAAAGAAACAGACAACAATGTTGAACAAAAAATGTTGAAAAACAACAACAAAAAACTGAAACACACCAAAACACTCGAGGAGCAACTGAACATTTGTTTGTATTTGTTCAATAACTGGTCGAGAGCCTATTTCAAAGGAATAAAAGTTCACTTCACAAGTTACAACACCTAGAATTCTAAAGAAAAATGCTGATGTAAATTGTATACAAAATATTTGGAGCGTAAAGATGTTGGAAAGCAAAAATCCGTTGATAATGGTTACAAAAAATTGAATAAAAGTTTATATTTTTAAAAAAAGACATTGAGAAATTCTTAAAGACTACACGATATTGTGGATTTGTTTCTGCTGAATGGTTTACATTCTGACGAATATTTCAAAACGTTAAACTGAATTGAAAAATTCTTAAATTCTGCTTAAAGTCTTCTATCTGTCATATGATGGTTCAGCTCTATAATTCAATCGAAGGGCCTGTAATTTGTACTTCAAATTTTAAGACAATGCTAAATATATTAGACACACAACTATGTTGTCAGGGTATTATAGCTTTGTGCAGCCCCAAGAGTTTGTTACGCCGCAAAATATTGATCCTAGACCCACCATTAAGTATACCGATCGTCATATCTGAGTCGATCTAGACATGTGTGTCCGTCCGTCTGTCCATTATATTTTGTAAACACGATACAGGCCACAGTTATAGACCAATCTTCACGAAATTTTGCATGTAGGATGGGTTCTGGCCAATGAAGACCCCTATTGTTTTTGTTTAAAGATCGGTTAATATCTAGGGATGAAATGGACAAAATACTTAATTTTTATCGGTTTTTTTCTGGTCGCTCCAGAGGCCACAATTATGACCCAAACATCGCGAGTTTTTACGTAGAGAACGGGGTCGGACCTGCTTGATAAGGATCGGTCAATATATAGCGGGTCAAATCGACCCGACTTGTAAAAAATTATAAAATTTGTATTCTATAGCGTATAGATTTACCCCTGAAGGACCAAGACCCGAGAAGTCGATAGTATATCTAAGGGCAGTGGTTGATCTTTAAATTGATACCAATTATATGGCCGTATGTACTCAGATGTGGGAGTTACACTTATATATTTACAGGTGCTTATGTATTCAGATATTATTTAGTAACCCTTTAGCACACTAGAGGGCGGAAATATAGCGCTGATCGCTTTAAAACGTTCCATGAGGTTGCAGTTATGGTCAAAGATAACACCTACAATTTTCGGGGATGATCAGATAATAATATTGTGATGAAGTGGACCGAAAACAGAATTTTTTGTGTTTTTTTCGAGTCGATCTATAGGCCACAATTATAAGCCGAACATAACAACACAACGCACGGTGAAGGGACAAGTAATTAAAAGGGCTGTACTGAATATTAGAAAATATGTCACTGTAAGGGAGAGGTGCTGTGGACCGGGCAAGAGCTTGCAAATATCACGAAATATTGCTCAGGCTCGCATTAAATATCCGCAGAAAGTTAGAGTTCCGTGGTAGTTGTGTGGCATATCGTATGGTCGGTCCCGTCCGACTATACTAATCCGCTCACTGGTTCTATATAAAAACTTCCATTTTAATTTTTAAATTTTCATAAATAAATTTTCACAATTTCTTTTCAGATTACAGTATTATATGCCGAAATTTAAAAAAAAGGGACGTCGGAAAGAGTTTTAATGGTATACGAATATGCACCATGAGTCTAAATACTTCCAATGTAATATACTGTGATAAAAGTTTTGATGATTTCCACACAAAGTAAGTATAGAAATATCCATTGTAAATAGCTCAAGTAATACTAATTTCAAGTAGAAACGATAGATGTAATAGACCAAAAAGAATAGCTTTCGTTTGCCTACAGCCACATGTTGTATATCAAAATATCGACCAAACGAGCCTTAAATGGGCACTTTAATGGGCGCTATATATGTACCAATTTAGTATTTCTCATATCCGGCCTATTCTCTTAATAGAAACCAGTTCAAAATTCGGATGGGAACGAGAATATGATATATTTCACCATTTTGGGTCCATACAAGAGATGCTCGTATGTAGGGGAGACTGGGGCACCTTCGGCAATCGCGTTTTCGATATGAAGCACTCACCGTACATCACTAGTTTCGATACATAGGTATCGAATATCGAAAGAAATAACTGACACAAAGTTTGAAATTTCTAGCTAATAAGCTTATATAGATACATGGGTTTTTGTATTTTTATAGATGTTTCTGTAATATTTCAATTCCATTTCGTAAGTATTTCGTGTATAAAACTTTTTAATTTTTTAAGACAATATTATTAAAAAGTGGTTAACTACGATGTGTATTATTATAGAAATATTTAAAAATATAATGTTTTTACAAAACTGATCGAAAAAATGAAAAAAAAAACTATAAAAAGGACATTCGGGGTACATTCGGCGTTTTAAAGTGGGCACATTCGTCCATATACAGATTGTGCAATATTATTTCCTTAAATTTTTTTTGAGTTTGTCTTTAAGACTAATCTTTTAATATGGTTCGAAATTGCATATATAAGATCAAACGTACTTGTATTGACGAAAATGCGATAGAAAACTCCTATTTCTGATGGTGTGTGCGACCTTGAGATGTAAACGTCCGCCGCAAGAAAATAAAGTCCTATAATTCAAACATTGTGTGGCGTATTAAAACCAAATAGAGCCTTTAGAGGATCAGAATTTCAAACAGACTGATAGCGATGACAATTACCCGGCTATGACTATGGTGGGGCAAATTCGGCGAATTTGACTTTTTTTACAAAACTGTAAAATTTTTTAACTAATACTATTTTTTTATATCTTGGTACTATTTTTTACTATTGGTACTATTTTTTATAATTAAGTGTCCGAGGACAATAATCAGCCACAAATATTTGGAGTCTGGTACATCATTTATATAAAATCGGAGAAAACTATATATGGGAGCTATATCTTAATCTGAAACGATTTTCACTAAACTTGGAATACGTCAAAATTTACGAAATTCAGTACACTGTGCAAAATTGTATCTCCATCGGACAAACACTGGTAGTTTGGTCCACCATTTACATAATATCGTACGAAGCTATATATGGGAACTATATCTAGATCTGAACTGATTTCAACAAAACTTCGCAATACAACTCAGTCAGTACGCTGTGCAAAATCTTGTCTCTATAGAAAAAATATTGGGAGTATATGATTAAGAGTATATCTATTTCTGAACCCATTGCAATAAAGCTTCGCATATATTAATCTGGACCTAATTTAGTACTGTGCAAAATGTTGTCTGAATCGGATAAATATTGGAAGTTTGGTTCATCATTTACAAAAAATCGGAAGAAACTATAGGAGCTATATCTAATTTTGGGCCGATTTCAACAAAACTTCAATCTTGATCTTATTTAGTACGCTGCGCAAAATGATGGGAGTTTAATGTACTATTTACATGAAATCGGACGAAAATATATAGGAGAGCTATATCTAAATCTGAACCGATTTTCTTCAATTTCAATTGGGTTCGTCCTTGGAGAAATAAGTGGCATGTGCCAAATTTCATCCAATTCGGATCATAAATGCGACCTGCACTTTGCTTACATCTTAACATAGACAGACGACAAACGGACGGACATGCATAGATCGACACAGAAAGTGATTATATGTATAGTTTCAAAAGTAATCATGTGTCTATCTCGTTCACTTTTGCCAGTTACAGCCATATGCAGAAAGGTCACAGCTTCTATTTCTTTCACTTGCAAATTTTCGGGATCAATCTCTCCCAAAGTGAACAATTACGCCAGAAGATTTTGAATTTTTGTAATTTTAGACACAAAAGCCTTTGTTCCCTTGACCCCTAATCATGATCCCAACATGCATTCTCATTATTTGGTCTGATGCCTTTTCCATTTCAAAAATTTGTGATGTTCGGCTTTTAATTCCCTCTCTATAGCGACTAGAAAAACATATAAACTAAATATTATCAGATAATCATGGAAAACTATAGTTATCATCCTTGACCATAACCGGAGCTTCATTTCTATCAAACTATAACACCTGACAAAAATTAATTATCATCTATATCAGTATAACGCAAAAAAAAAAACAACGAAAGTCGAACGAAACCAAGGAAACTTCGCCATAGTTTATTTGAAGGTGACTTCAAAGAGCTTCTCTTACAATTCGCTTGACTTGAAAATTGGCTATAGCACAGCCTTCTTATATATTAAGTGGAATTTGCTCATGTTGAGTTAAGACGAAATAGAATACAGAGTTGGCAAATATGTAAATGATTCGTGCTAGTTGGAATCCTTTAGAATTTGTTGAATATTTCAAATGCCATAGATTCGACAATGAATTCAATGTTAACAACAATTTTTCTTTGCCATTCAACATTACCAGCATTTCAATATTTTGCTTCCAGGTTATATTTTCAGTTGTATCATTCCGCGAATATTTTGCATACAACATTCAATTCCAGCCAACAAATGAAATGTTTGAAATTAATTGGTATGGTAGCTATTGCCGGAATTTCCATGGAAACTTTTACGTATTCAAACGAGTTTAACAAGAAATTAAATTGGCTCACGACGTGACGCGCTTTAAAAAAAGACAAACAAAAACAATTAATTTTATAAAATTGTAATATTGCTTGTATGTAAGTGGTTGCGTCTCAAAAAATGGGCAACATTTTCACCATAAGTTTGAGATAAAATATATGTCATCCTTCCATTTAGAACACCTCAAAATATTGGCCGATTCTTTTGGTTCATATTTGAAGTTATTCATTTAAGTTGTTCTATAAAAATGTTCCGAGGAATAAGCTGGAGTGCATATTAAATTTGTCGGTTGCAACACCTCAAAATATTCTCCGGAGACCCCATAAAGTATATATAAATTGGATACTTTCATTGCTACAATTCCTAGGATGTTAACCGAAATGGCTATAACTAAGTATTTAAAATTCGAATTAGTCCTAATTTGGCTCTCCTTTTATTTTAAATGGTTCTACCAAAAATTCATAGCCCGCCATTTATAAAGTTCTCGAACGATTACTGGTATTTTAAATACCAACATAATGGAGGATATTAAAAGTTCACCATGGCCGAATTTAGATACGTTTTTACTTATACTTATATAGCTTATTATCGACAGGGTGATATTGGGTTGTATACCAAGTGTTAGTTGATATGTTAATTCCCTTCATCCCCAATACTTGCCTATATTGTATATACCATGGGAATTTTCATGAAATACCATATTAGAAGGCTTTATTGTTCAAGATGCACTACCATGAATTCATTTTGACTTAACAATGGTGGTTTTATAATTAAAAACTATATCACAGTACAATGAAATGCCAGTGAAAATTATAATTGTTATGCTGCATAATTATTCTTCTCGATACAAAACACATAGTTTCTCAATACAAAGAAATTTTAATTCATAATGAAGATTTTTTATTATTAGAACAGCATTGTTACTTTAGAATATCTACTTAACACCTACGTAGTCCAAAAAAGCAATTCAAAAAGAATTCAAAGTATGAACAGTAATAATGTTCAAAAAATCCATAAAACCCATTATTTGCAGTGCAAAACAGCCAGTAGGGTTGTGATGTTTCCCTTCTTCTTTTCTTGTTCATATAACCTTGTACCAATCTGTTGCACAGGGTATTATATCCTTGTGATGTTTGCATCACTCTTCATGATGCACTTGAAATTACTATTTGAATCGATTAATGTGTGTCCGTCCATCTATCCATGTAGTTTAGGCACAAAATGAATACCATTGAAATGTGTGAAAAGAATATTTTAATGTCATGTAAACAATTTACATCAGCAGCAATAATAAATCTCTACGTATACGAATCATATAATATAAAGGGTAACATGCAAACACGCCAGAACGTCGCTGTGGATTTAAACCTTTCGAAAACAAAGTCGGGAATTTCATGTGGTCACTATTTCATTGGAAATTGCTTCACCTAGTTGCAACAAGTAACTAGTAAGGCAAATTCAAAAGTTTGACGGGGCCGACGATATGATGCCCTTCACCACTATGGGTATATTAAACAGATCCTTACAGACGTTGCATTTTTAAAGGACCATTAACATGAAATTGAATGAATTAAAATAGGTAATCTTTATCTAAATGAGAATCAACTTAGATCAATCAATAAACATGCATTTCGTTTGTTGCAATTAAAGCAAATATCAATCGGACACCCATTGCATATTTTGAGCCCAATTAACACGAATGTCAATCTGATAAACATGAGGAGTTTGGTGCATCATTTACTTAAAATCGGACGAAAATATATATGGAAGCTATATTCAAATATGAACCGAATTCAACGAAAATTGTCAGAGGTAAGGTTATACTAATTTCAGTACGTTTTATTTCTATCGGCCATATTTTGGGTCCTTGGTTAATAATTAACTTGAAATTGGACGAAAATATATATGGGAGCACACTAATTTCAGTACGGTGTGCAAAATTTTCTAACAATCGGCCTAACTTTGGGTCTTTGGTGAACCACTTACTTAAACTCGGACGAAAATAAATATATATGAGCTATATCGAAATCTGAACCGATTTCAATAAAACTTGGCACACGTTGGGTTACCGTAACTTCAGTACATTGTGCAAAATTTTGTCCGAATCGGCATAGCTTTGGGACTTTGGTGCACCACTTACTTAAAATCGGACGAATATAATTGGGAGCTATATCTAAATCTGAACCGAATTTTCACAATTTCAATAGTGTTCGTTCTTGGGCCAACAATGATCTGTGCCAAATTTCATCTAATTCGGAGCTTTGGGACTATATGGGACTATAATAAAACGAAGATCAATATTGATATTATACCCTTGGTACAGGGTATTATGTCTTTGTGCATATATTTGTAACAGGCAAAAGGAAACGAGATAGACACATGGTCCCATTGAGAATATGCCTAGAATCACTTTCTGAGTCGATTTATGCGTGTTCGTCTGTCCGTCCGTCCGGACAGACCGTCCATGCATTTTTGTGAAAAAAGTACAGGTCGCATTTTTGATCCGATTTGGATGAAATTTGGCACGTATCTCTTATTTGGCCCAAGGACGAACCCTATTGAAATTGGAGAAAATCGGTTAAGATTTAGATATAGCTCCCATATATAGTTTCGTCCGATTTAATGTAAACGGTCCCTATATATCTTTCGGTTTGAACGAAATTTGGCACAGCGTAATGAATTAGATCTATAATGGTGTGTGTCAAGTTTCCTGAAAATCCGTTCAAATTTTGATATAGCTCCCATATATATTTTCGTCCGATTTTAGGCAAATAAAGCAACAAAGTCCCTATATATCTTTCGATTTGCATGAATTTTGACTTTACGTACCGAATTAAGTCTAGAACGATATGTTTTAAATTTCGTAGAAATCGGTTCGGATTTAGTTATAGCACCCATATATTTTTTCGTCCGATTATAGGTAAATATTGCACCAAAGTATGTTTATATCTTTCAATTTGCACGAAATTTGGCATAGTGTACTGAAATAAGTGTAGAACGATGTGTGTTAAGTTTCGGGAAAATCGGCTCTAAATGTACCAGAATGAAATTAAATTTAGCATAGGTTGCAGAAAGACATGAGTATGTTCCTTCGAGGGAACATTGACATGCAATTGTAAGGATACATAAGTATACCCAAAGTGGTGAAGGGTATCATATAGTCGGCCCAGTCCGACTTTACTACTTTCCTTACTGGTTTTGTAGTGAAATTTTACAGTCAATGATAAAGCAATATACAAAATAACATCCAATTGGTTGAAAAACGTGTATAGATATGGTAATACCGTTATGAGAACCCAAAATACCAAAATAAAGCCAATTTGATTCAAAAACGTGTCAAGAGCCCCCATATTGGGGCCTACCATATTATGGGGGGATCCCCTTAACGTGGCTCAATTTTCAACAATGTTGGTTGGAAATTGTGTCCAAAATCCCCTAAATACCGAATACTGGTTGGTACCGTTCTATGGGGACTATTGCGATCTTAGGTCAAGATTAATACTTTTTAGTGCGGATATGTGTTATTCAATGAAAACCCCAAAATACCAAATTACAGGCAATTCGGTTGGTAAACCTGTCCAAAATTCTCGAAATACCAAATATTGGGGAGTGCTGTTATATGGGGGCTACACCAATACGTGGACCGATATATCCCATTTACCATACCAAACATCCCAGGAGTACCAGCAATGTCTGTGCAAAATGTCAGAGCTCTATCTTCAATATCTCTATTGAGATTTCAAAAGTCAGACTGACAGAGAGACATGACTAGATCGACATAGAATTTTGTTCCGATCACGAATATATGTACTTGTGGGGCCTCCGGCGAATATTTCGTTGGAAAACTTGGCTAAGAACATCAACTTACTGAAAATTATATGAGGCCTTTGAATGAGAAGAATAAAGTCAATTCAAGCAAAAAACTTTGGAGTACCAAAAATTGGATCTCGCCCATATTTAAATGGGATCTATGCCAAAAATTTCGACTTGTATGGGTTTAGAAAAGCTTCGAAAAACATAAAGGCACGCAATTCTTAAGGAACCCTTTATATGCAGGCTGTGTTCAAAAACATACTTATGTAGAACACTTACTACCTAAATGGGGAAATGCCGCAAATATGGTGATACGTTCATTCTCAAAAACTGCCCCCATAGGAAATTAAATTGTTTGCATACAATAAGTAAATATCTGCAAATTTTTATACCCTTCACAACTCTGTGGTACAGGGTATTATGTCTTTGTGCATATGTTTGTAACAGGCAAACGGAATCGAGATAGACACTTGGTTCCTTTTGAGAATATGTATAGAATCATTTTCTGAGTCGATTTATGCATGTCCGTCCGACTGTCCGTCCGTCTGTCCGTCCGTCCATGTATTTTTGTGAGCAAAGTACAGATCGCATTTATGATCCTAATTGGATGAAATTTGGCACAGCCCATTGGTTTGGCCCAAGGACGAACCCTATTGAAATTGGAGAAAATCGGTTCAGATTTATTTATAGCTCCCATATATACTTTCGTCCGATTTTAGGTAAATGGTGCACCAAAGTGCCTGAAAATCATTACATTTGCACGAATTTTGGCATAGCGTACTAAATTAAGTCGACAATAATGTGTTGTAAATTTCGGGAAAATCGGTTCAGATTTAGATATACCTCCCATATATAGGTAAATGTTCCACCAAATTACCTGCAAATCTTTTGATTTGCACGAATTTTGGTATAGTGTACTGAATTAAGTCTAGAATGATGTGTGTTAAGTTTCGTGAAAATCGGTTCAGATTTAGATATAGCTCCCATATATAGTTTCGTACGATTTTATGTAAATGGTGCCCCGAAGTCCTTATATAGCTTTCGATTTAAACGAAATTTTGCATAGGGTAATGAATTAGGTCAAGAATGAAGTGTTATAAGTTTCGTGAAAATCGGTTCAGGTTGAGATTATGCTCCCATATACAGTTTCGTCCGATTTTATGTAAATGGTGGACCAAAGTCTGTATATATCTATCGATTTGCACGAAATTTGGCATAGGGTAATGAATTAGGTCAAGAGTGAAGTGTTCTGATTTAGTTATAGCTCCCATATATATTTTAGTCCTATTTAATGTAAATTGATTGACACAACGTACTGAAATTTGCATTCCGACGACGTCTGTTAGGATACATATGTTGAATATATCCAAAGTGGTGAAAAGTATCATATAGTCGGCGCAGTCCAACCAGCCAAACATAGTATAGAATATAGATCCCCATTTTTGTATACCTCCATATAATGGTGCCCTCACATGTTTGGTATATTGGGGTGTGTTGGACACGTTTTCAAACCTAATTGGCAGTAATTTGTATTTTGTCGATCCCTGTTTCGGATAAGGTCCCATTAGTCGGTATTTTTGAGATTTTGGTATAATTTTGCATCCAAATTGATTATAACTTTGAAGAAATTATTTTTCGTTTTTCGGTGGGTGAACATGATAACCCTAAAATGAAGTATCTTTTGATAATTCCATATTCGGAATTTAACCTGAAGATTTGGCTGTACCCTGTTTGGACATAACCCCCATACCAACATTTATAGCTACAGTGGTGTTGTGAATAAAAATACCTGTTTGATCTACATCAAATGGTCTAAAAAAATATTTTAAGTAGTTAAAGTGGGCATTTCAAACTCGACCGTACGAACATAAAACCACTAAAGCATAGAGCGAGTAAAAAGCTCTATGCTTTAGTGGTTAACGCCGATAATAAACATTGAAATAAGAATTATTCTACGCTTTCTAGGAATAACAAAAAGAAAACTCACTCGTAATGCTGTACAATTATAGCTTCCAATTAACTTTTTTTATTTGTTGCTGTAACAAGTTTCACAACTTTTTGAAGGCGTTTCGAGCTATCACAAGGCGTCTGTCAAGTATTTTATGTAAATATTTGTGTTTGAGTTCTTTTTATTTGTTTGTTGTCGTTTTTTTTACTTTTGTTTGTCATCAATGGAAAATTTGTTGAACAAACAACCAATTGTCATGCCGTTGGCAACATTCAACATGTGGCATTTGTTTCTATTTGAATTTATGTAAATTTTTTTCAATTTCCCCCTTCTGCTACTCAACTGTTTTTGTCTTTATGCTCCGTGTATTTTCAGCTACAAACATGTACACGGACATCTTTCGGTGGTTGTCTGCCTGCTGGGCACCATGGCCAATACGCTCAACATAATGGTATTATCGCGACGTGAAATGCGCACACCCACCAATGCCATTCTAACCGGCCTGGCCGTGGCTGATTTAGCCGTTATGCTCGAATATCTGCCCTATGCCATTCATGATTACATTCTATCCGAATACTGGACACGAGAACAACAGCTGAACTATCCTTGGGCATGTTACATCAAATTCCATGCCATCTATGCTCAGGTATTGCACACCATTTCCATTTGGTTGACGGTAATGTTGGCCGTGTGGCGTTATATAGCGGTTACCTATCCGCAAGTGTCTCGCGAATGGTGCGGCATGACTAATACTGTGATTTCAATATTGCTGGCCTATGTTATATGTGGATTGGTGGTCACACCCTGGCTGTACTTAGTCAGTTCGGTGGCACAATTCGAGGAGGTGGTAACCGAAAACAATAAAGTGCTCTATTCAAGGCCATTGAGTGAATACATCCTAAAGTACCAGACCAAACATGATTATGCGAATTTCTCTAAGCTCAGCACTTTAAATGCCACTGGCGCTGTGCAGAGCAGCAGCAGCAACAGCACCAACAACAACAACGACAGCGACACCGACATGATGATGACGACGGCAAACAATGCCTCATTATTGCAGCATCAACATCACAATATAACAGTCTATCGTCTGTATCACAGCGACATGGCACTGCAGAACAACACCCTGCGTTTGGGCACCCTGCTCGTCTATTCGGTGCTGATAAAACTGATACCGTGCATAGCACTCACGGTACTCTCGTTGCGTCTAATAACCGCCCTCTTGGAGGTGAAAAGACGCCGACAAATGTTACACAGTCAATTGCTAAAGGCCGAGGAGAAATCTTCACAATCGAATGCAAGTCAGACAATGCCGGCGGGTGTGGGCGGAAGTGGCATGGCTGGTGGGTCGAACACAGTCGTTGCTGGTACCTCGCCCCTCGTCGATGCCAACCAAATGGCCATGAACTCAACACTGATGATACGGAAAAAAATCGATAAAGCGAAACAAACGGATCGCACAACGCAAATGCTGTTAGCGGTGTTAATGTTGTTCCTTATCACCGAATTGCCCCAGGGCATAATGGGTCTGCTCAATACGATATTGGGTGAGGCGTTCTTTATGCAGTGCTATCTGAAATTGAGTAAGTATTTGCGGGCATACTCTAAAACACGCGCTGACACACACGCACATACATAACCTATAATTGGGAACAAATAAATCATTTGTTGTTAGTGTCAGGGACAACATGTAATTAATGTGTCAAACAACATTTATGA